CACACACACACACACACACACACACACACACACACACACACACACACACACACACACACACACACACACACACAAACGCGCGCGCGCGCGCACGCACGCACGCACGCACGCACGCACGCACGCACGCACGCACGCACGCACACACGCACACACGCACATACGCACATACGCACATACGCACATACACACATACACACATACACACATACACACATACACACATACACACAAACGCACGCACGCACGCACACACACACACTCAAACCCGCACAGGCGCGCGCGCAAATACCCACCCACATACATTCACGTACACGTACACGTACACGTACACGCACACGCACAGTCTTTATTATTTTATATATCTCTATATTGTTTTACCCTTTTATTATGTAAATTAACCCATTTTATACTTTAGCATCCCCTCCCCTAACCATCTTGTTTTATGTAGGGTCAACAGCGCGTCTTTTACGATAGTATTTATTCCATGAGCTCCCTACAGTTGCATGGGATCTATCAAACATGATAAATGTGAAAATGTGAATGATGACATTTCGTTGCATCGTGCCTTAATTACCTGCTGGTTCATATCTGTTGCGTATCTCAAAACGTGACACGAGTGTTACCTATTTCTATTGTGATATATCTACATGCACCTACAGGGTTTGCACACCATAGGCAAAACACGTCTGTGGAATTTTTCCGCAAGGTTTTAGCCAAATTACTATTTTCTTCTATCCTCAAATCCTCCAATCAGTGATTAATTTACAAACATTTGCATGATGCAGTTTTAGTGCCCTTCAGAAACAACAGATATCAACGTCAGAGTTAAATCTCAAAGGCTTTCCAGGATCAAACAATAATTTCCAGGATTTTCCAGGGCCATAGTCTGTTTTCCAGTGGTTTCCTGACCTGGGAAATGACATTTTGAGATCCCGGGAGTTTTACAGGTGTGTGCATGGACAATAATCCCACCTAAATGTCATCAATCATGATCCTTATATAGTCATGTGGGATGCATGTACACTGTCAGCCTCACCTGGTTGAGATCGATCATAAACGTGGAAAGGTGGATGGATACACTCTCATCGGTACGTATGCGGGACAGGATCCTATCCACTAGCCCGATCTTGGCTCCCTCTGCCGGCACAAAACTGCCGATATGTGCCAGAAACACGATCACGCCAACCTGGTATAAAAATAGCGAGAGTTCAATCGTTCGATTAAACCGTGTCGTATATGCGGAACTTAATTCGGCGCGTTTTATAGGCCACTAGGCTAGACTGCCCCATAGGCGCTATAATTATATGCATGTGGCTCCGAAAATAAATGCCGGTAATACAAGATATGCGACGTGCGCACGCTTGTGATAGCCACCCAGTGTTAATGGTGCGTTTACTACGTACGCACCTATACTCCTTCAGCAGCTGAGCCGAGCTACTTTATGGGGTTGTTTACGATGAGGACAGTTTCGCCGTGAGTATATGATTCATGAAGGGGTTGTAATAGCATAGCATGAGCTGTTATTGGTAAAACTCCTCTCTACGTTTCGCATTTGTTTCGCGATTGCACGCGTAGGCGTACGTCCCGGTAAACTTTTGTCCGGTAAAGTTGCGTTGATATTTTCTCTCCTTCCTTATTTGAAGTTATTTTGAAAGATGATAGTGGCAGGTCATATATAAATAAGTACAAATATAAAGCGAGAAAGAGATGGAGAGAGCGAGAAAAAGGATCTAAAAAATAATAGGGTTAGAGAGAAAGATAGCAGCGAGCTTGAGCCCACGTCTGATTGGATCTTACCTGTTTCAGGTAGACGCTTTTGCCAGAGGAGTTTGGTCCGGTAAGAACCTTGACACGACCTTGGTGCGTACTGCTCGTGTCATTGGGTACAAATGAGGGCACGCATAGCTCCTGGAGAGGGTGCCTGCGTGTATACGTAACACGTATGAGCTGGGTGTGCCCACGCAGATTGCATTTATCATCTCTCCGCAGGAGTTCTACATGTCTCTAATAACAGCATCACTTTCACTGCGAAGGCTGTGAGTTCGAATCACGGCCAGGATAGTAAGTTTTCTCAAGGTGTAAAAAACCTAGCTCTCAATATTGGGGACTCCCAACGATTCCCTCGTGGCTCTGATAAGCACGTAAAATATACTGCAGAAGGTAATAGCAAACCACTGTGATATCTTGTCATAAAAATTCGATGGAAAGGCGCAATAACTGATGGATTGACACACGTTCAGCAGTGACCACCGAAGACTCTTCAGAAGAGTTCCCAGTCTCACCTCTGTCACCTCAGTGGATTTACATATGTTCAGGGATGAGGATTGTCCGCCGATCGGCGGAATTCCGCCGATTTGACAGCCGCGTGAATCGTGGAAATCCGGTGGAAAAAAAGGAAAAAGAAAAAAAGGGAATTTTTTTTTTTCCCTGGGGGTGATGACTATTTCTGTTTCAAATGGCTATTCCAATCAATCCAATATAATATAACTCATATTTGTTTTGACTTCAGCACCAACCAATTCTGCCCGTTGTTTGTTTAATTTGTTAAACTGCTAGACAGGTAAACATTAGTGTACTGCTTGTGAACTTTTAACATGGTTTGAGTAAATTTTTATATCGCAAGACAATTTTATATTTTTATTATTCATGCTTGAAAGAAATGTTATACTTGTTTTCTACCAGTTTAATGTATATTGTTAGCCATTATGTACAGTTGCTAGATTAGCAACAAAAGGTCATGGAGAAGGCCTCAAATCTGTTGTTAAAATAATATTATATTACAAGTATGGCTTTTGCAAATACCTAAATTGAGCTAGAATGTATCTCCACATGGCCTAAAGATGCCGTTACAGTCCATTTTTCTCAAAAAAATTAGACCCCCCTTGGGGGAGAGGGCACCCCTCCCGCACCATCCCCACTTGGCGGCTACGCCGCCTCGTAATTGTCCTTCGTTATCTTTCCCTCTTTTTTCCCTTCTTGCTGTTCTCATCCCCGATGTTTAGACTGTCGACACTGCAGTGTCACTGCCAATGTCATTACACGACGACCATCTCAACATATAGCGTAATCATCCAAACATATATAGCTAGTTATTGTTAATACCAGGAGTCTATCAATATTGATAGACTCCTGTTAATACAAATAGTGACCAAGTGCGGAAACTTGCAGAAGCTAGCAGATTAGATCCGTAACAGTTTAGTTGCTCGACCATATACATATATATACAGGAGTGAATAATAATAGATTCTATTATTATTCACTCCTGGATATATATATATATATATATATATACCTTCCTCCAGTGATGAGGAGTTCATTGCGTGAGCTTAGTTCAGGTTGCACATAGTTGTACTCCATTGCTGCCGTCGCCAGTGAGATTAGACTGTGGAACAAAAGAGAGCATCTCGTAATCTCACCGACCCCCCCCCCCATATTCTCTAATGATTCAGCTAATATTAGAATAACATTCATCAAATTGTGATACGATCTAACATCGTAACTTATCTTCTACCTAAGTATAGGTGCCTTGTTCAAGCATCCTTTTGACTGCATTTGAATTTGAAGCGCAGGTTTGTGCAAAATCACCAGCATGGTGGGGGCATGTGTGTGTTTTGTGATGTGTGAGTGTGTTTGTCGTACCAGTCGAGCTGCGCTGTGTATGTCATGACGTCACGCAGTGCCTCGGCACGCTTCAGTATCGTGTCCTGTAGCCGATGCATGATCCTCGTCTCGTGGTCTGCAAGGAAGCTTCCCCCAATGTTATCAAAGATGCAGCCATGTATGTTATAACACAGGACTAAATTTCCCTCCGAGCAAGATAACCACACCCCACTTGCACACTGTTGCTAAGTGTGTCCGGTTAGACAAGTTTGTATATGTATTTTTCGCAGGTGGATGCCGAATTTTTCGATTTTGCGGCACTTCGTCGCCAAGCATTGTCTTTTAGAACGTTCTATTACAACAATGGTTGGCCAGACCTGCCTGCCAATCACGCCAGGTAGATAGATAGGTCAATTCCACAATCAAGGCTATAAACACTGTCAAATGAAGCTGTCAAAGTCATTGTGGAAACACAGACCGACACAGCCTGTATGACAATGACTGACTGATGACAATATCCTACTTGCGTGGAACCCAATTGTTATACTCACACGATCTCACAATTTGTCGTCTGCCTATACATCAATTATCATATATACTCGCCTAGTTCTTATCCAGTTGTGATCTCATATTCACCGTTATATAGCTGTGCCGTAATTGTCACAGTCACCAGTGACATTACATTGCGTTGACATAGTGTAGGTATATAGATACACCTGCTGATCAAAACCGTTACTGTCACGTATCAGCGGGTCAACCACCATGCTGTAACCTAGCTGTAGTGTCACACGTGTTACCTGCACGTCAATTACACACCTGTGATCTCACACTGTGTGTCACCAAGCCTTTGGTCGAGTTCTGCAGAAGAAGCAAACGTGAGTATGAGTATGGTGTTGCTCAGTTTATACCAGTTTGGTTCGCATTTATAATGACAGTTTTACATATATTCTGCAATTTTTAATCATTTTGGTGGTGATGTTGTGGCATGTATCATGGATGTGGTAGGAGAGAAATAACTATATAGTATCATATTATTATTTTATTATTATATTTATATACATATATATATATATATATATATATATATATAATATATAATTTTTTTATTATACATTATCATATTATTTCTATGTATTCATTTACGGAGTACTTCAGTCTTCAATCATACTTACCTTCCATGCTTGCACTTTTGTAGTAAATCACGTTGTTTGAAAAGAACTGCAGAAGAGAAAAACAAACAGAATATATACGCATCCATGAGCACGTACGCATACGTTTGTGCGTTAAGGGGGGGGGGGCTTGCATTTGCTCCTAAACCCCTGATTTTTACACGCATCCACAGCATGGTGATAGATAGTGCAAGCTGCTGATAGATGGCGTTGTATGTCCGCGCAGCCCGATGTGGCACGTTGATCGTGCCACCAGAGGGCGTCTCTCTCACCATGAACGTCAGCCCTGGAAGCTGGTAGTTCTGCTCCTCTCCGATGAGGTCGCTCTTCGGGATTGCTAGGAGGTATCCGATCTACAACAGAATGATACAACAGGTGAAACTCTATGAACAATATGAAACTATAGGAAGAGTCCTGCATATAACTGTTGACACTTTTGACGCTTAGTTTCCGTGAGCAGCAGTTATGTGCGATAATTACCTCTGCAGAACGGACACCTGTCTACAAAGGACACTTGGCATTTCCTATGGGTGATCCCCTATATACAGGTCTGACTCTGATCCTTTTATCAAGTATGATTTTATTCGTGTATTTTTTCTGGTTTATATATAGTCAACTGTTTCACATTCTTAGAATAAATTAAATGGAATTTAAAAGTGCATTTATTCATGATAAAGCCAGGCAATTTACGTGTTAGCAACCGTTAGTTTAGACATCTAATCTAGTTATCTTTGTCAAGCTGAATGAACCCGCTTCGGCTTGTCACCAGACCAAGTTGTCATATATAGTCGCCTAGACCAGTTGTTGAAACCATTGCTGAGGTTTGACTATACCTGATCACAAGTTTTTCTTTTGAAAGTAGTTTTGCTCAACAAAGTTCCCAGTGAGTTAATGGGCCATTGGTCATTGGTGCCATTTTCTCCAGGGCATGATCAATCCTTCTAACTATAATAACTTGTTTGTGTTAATAACGTACACGGACGGGCAATGCCATTTACATACATACACACCTGGATTTTTTAACGTATCTGAAGCAAGTTGGCAGATATTGTTGGCCTACCTGCGGCAGGTAAATGACATTGCATTCCTCCACCCTCTCGTCTAGTCTCTTCAGCTCTTCTCCGGCAACCTTTGTCATGAAGTCTGGCAGTCCGTTGAACGTCTTCTTTTCTGCAACGTAATATGCGACTCTCTCACTAGTCGACAGCATCTGATGTTGGCGTATTGATAGCAGCACTTATAGCAATATATAAGCATGAAGATATATAGCTCTAGCACTCTAAGCCTCAATCATTTCACTTGGCACTTATTTTAGCATGGTAAAGTTTTGGTTTTATATCCAATATTAGCAGAATATATATAATGTGTGTAAAGATATGTAGCTCTAGCACTCTATCACTTTGCTTTACACTTATTTTAGCAGGATAAGAGTTAGGTTTTATATCAAATATTAGCAATATATAAGCATCAATATATTTAGTTCTAGCAATTCTAGCTTCATAATATGTAGCTCTAGCAACGTAGCTTTCACCACGCTGCATTACACATATTGCAAAGCGATAGATGCTGTAGTGCTAGAACTCCATATATCTATCCTTATATACGTGTGGTCACACCGACCAATGGTCAGTATACGCCCTCAACTTCAACTGTCAGCCGACACTCACTGTTGTCCAACTCTTCATCGATGCCAAGCTTGACGACGAAGCGGTTTTGCACGACGGACTCGTCAAAGTCCATGATGCGGCTGATGAGGCTGGCCACACACTCCAGGTCGTCCGTAAACACGTGCCCGATCTACGACAACAACAAGTGCGAACAATGCACGAATAAGTTACTATATATCCGTCAGTAGAGAACAACTAAGCGATGAGTAAGTCACCTATATCCGCTAGCAGGGAACAATTGAGTGATGAAACCATGATCTGCGTTCGCTTGGAGTGATCAACACGTAGCTCTAGCCATTCAGCATTGAAATAGGACGTTCTAAAAATCCTGCTTAGTAACGAAGTGCCGCAAGGTCAACAATTTTGCGTGTGCGCGTGAAAAATGTGTATATACTGTTATAGTGTGACCGACCTAGCAATAATGTCTATGTGAGCATGGTAATCTTGCTCAGAAAATATAGGTCAATTAAATGTGGAAAACAAATACCAGCATGCAAGTTACTGTTGAAACTATTTAACACCATGATGTGCGAACAACAATAATGCGACAATGGGAAGAACAGAATGACATTGTGATTAATTGCATGATAGCTGATGCGTGGAAGGATACCATGCCGCATTATGGCAGGAACAAGGAAGGACTGATTCCACAAACAATAGAGTGACTCTGCGTGAGACATCTGAATGGTTATACTCAATTTCTGTCGTGCATATGCCTGAAGGTTAATTCTATTTCTTCGGGTGAAACATCTAACATGAACTCGACCATAAGTGACATAATCGCAATAGATGTGATGATTATCATCCTTCACAGAACCAAACCACAGAGAGATGCATGAAGGGTTATACTGATCGAGCATGTGATATTCCAAATGAGCACGATTGATAAATGACATTGAAACTCTTATATCAGAGAGGTGAAATCTTGGCCACACAGCCTCGGGAAAATGTAAAGTACGCGGGCAGAAATCACCTTCTTAAAGATGGCAACATCAGAGGCCTGTGCAGCACGACATATGTCTCCAATGAATATCGCATTGTAAGCCGTCTGAAATAAAAGCAAAAATATACCGGGCAAGCATATAACCTTAGTCGCCTGTGAATTTTCGAATTTATTCATATGATGAAATAGAAATGTTATTATTAATTGTTTGTTGATAGGTATAATAATAATTATAGCAGCTTTATGTACCTTGTACAAAGCCTGCCAGTCGCCAATGGTAGCTTGTGCTGTTGTCATTTTGCTCAATATTCTCTAGAAGAAGAAGAAATTAGAATTACTTATTTTCGCATGGAGAATTAATTGTTTCAGGGGCTCTTGGTTTGTAGATTGAGACACATTGCAAACCATAGCATGATGTATAGATCAGGCACAAATTCAAAACATGTAGCTGACAAATGTTAACTTGGTGGCCTGCTATTAATTTTTAATCAGGCAACTAAATAGCAAATTATGACCAGATGGCTATAGCTAACAAATCTAGAAGTTTTAGAATGTGACAGTTTAAGAATATAGACTACACAGCTAGCACATATAGACCACGCATCTAGCACATATAGACCATGCAAGTAGCACGTGTACAGCACACAGCTATCATGAGTAGACCATGCATGCGGCTATCACACGTAGACCATGCAGCTATCACGTGTAGTCCACACGACTCGTCACGTGTAAACCACGCAGCTATCACGCGTAGACCATGCGGCTATCACACGTAGACCATGCGGCTATCACGCGTAGACCATGCGGCTATCACACGTAGACCATGCAGCTATCACGTGTACATCATCCAGCTATCACGTGTAGTCCACACGACTCGTCACGTGTAAACCACGTAGCTATCGCGTGTAAACTACGGCGCGATGGTAGCTAACGCAGGCAGCGCTCTCACGGACACGTTCTTGACATGCTTGAGGCAGTCGCGCAGCTGGTTGGTGACGTCGGTATTGCGACTGCTCGTAAAGAATCGCACCGCGGCGAGACGCTCGTGCAGCACGGCGACGTCGCGTGTCGGCCGCAGGAACCACAGCCGCAGCTCCACCGCGCCCAGCCGCGAGCGACACTTGTTCATGATGCCTGCAAGTAGATGGCGCCACCGGCGAGGTCACGCGGGCTGCGAGTGTCACGCGTGCGTGGGTCTTTGCTGTGCTGCGGGTGTGTAGCGGAGTGAGGGGCGGTGTAGAGCTTAGAAGATGCTGGATAAGAGGAGGAGGAGGCAAAGAAGCAGGAGATGAAGAAGAAGGAGGAGGAAGAGGAGGAGAAGGAGGAAGAGGAGGAGGAGGAAGAAGGTGAAGAAGAAGAAGCAGGAGGAGGAGGAGGCGAGAAAGCGCCCATCTATTACAGACTATAATAAAAGTGAAAGTTCATTACAGTCATTACCGGACCAAGTTAATTAAAAATAAAGGAATACATGATTACATTGCACGATCAAGATTGTACTCTATAGAGTCGTGAAAAAGCTGTCTGACAGATAATTTTGCATTTCTTGAGGCCAGTCATACCGAATACACTCAGCCCCTCTTTGCCATAGCTAGGGGCCTTGTATGCTGACGGATGTCTCTCCTTGTGAAATATCTGCAGTGACCGAAGTGTGTTGTCGTCCATGAGCACCATGTCTGACCTACGGACAACAATCATGGGATACTGAGGCTATACAATATATAACTCTAAGAGAGCAGATGAGACAATGACATCTCCCATAACGGTCAGTTAATTGCTCTATCCTACTGAGCGAGACAGTCAGCTCCTTGGATGTTGTTGTCAGGTTGGTAAAGCTAGACCATTTTTTACATTTTACATGCATATATGCAAGATTGTTGATTGTTCTGCACTTCATTGGCAAGCGTCATTTTGAGAACATCCTATCTAAACTCTGATTGGCTGGAGCTGCCTGTCTATCATAGCCAGCAAATGTGCTAAGTGTAAGACAACGCAATATACTGGTGCGCAAAAATTGAGCTCACGAATGAGGATGGCACGAAAAAAGAATGGATATGGAAGACGTATAATTATATTCATACAGTGAGAAGAATTTCAGTGCGAGGACTGGTACTTTTACAGCATTGTCCTCTAGCTGCACTCCCACTCTCATCTTATCCAGATACTTTAGCAAGCCTCCAGCTGCTTTCACCTGTAATTTATTATATAGAAGCAAGGTGAGAAGGTAAATGCGAAAGAAACCTAATTAACACTACTACATTATAAGATCGTACATTGTCATGTTAAGAGTATACTGCGAATATGCCATGTTAGGTTCCCTCTGTTTATAGCATTGGTTTTACATTAAATGCATATCATGCTGCTATTATTATTTCCCATGTATTTATAGTTTTGTTACCTAATTAAAATGGTTTGCGAAAAACAGCTGATGAAGTTTAGAGAAAATAAAACCCAGCTGCTATTAAAACACACCTATATAGTTGTTAATTAATAAATAATAATTTTCTGATTGAATGATAAGGAACTATACTGTTTTTGACATTGAAGCTCGAGCAATATTTATGTGCCTGTCACCTCATGTCTGTGCTCATTCGTATACCATGTCATCTAATCTTACTATTACACCCACCATGTTTATGTTGTCGAAATTGATCAGGGAACTCATATATAGAAGTCGCTTGTCGTCAGACATTGATTCCATGCCTTGTAGGTTGAGTGCCATGAGTCGTCTCTTGCTGTATTCATAGGCTGTAATGGTTGTGAGACAGAATGCTACGTGAAAGTCACAAATACTACCAGCAAAGCTATACATAAGAAACCGTTCCAAACTATTCTAAATTAACAGTTTTTATTAATCGAGCATCTCTCCTTCCTCTTCCTCCTCTCCCCACTCGCTCTTTATGAGTCTTTGTGTGTGTATGTGTGTGTTTGTGTGCCCCTGCGTGCATGTGTGATTTTTTCTATACTCACCAAAATCAGTACTTGGCAGTAGCTGCACTGAGTTGGTCTCTGTTGTCTCCATGCTATCTCCAACTAAAGAAAACAAAATACAAACAAATAAAAGGTGTATCTGGTAGCTTTCTCTATTTTTACCTTAATTATTATTCATATCTAATGAGTAGAGAGAACCCTGTCTGACCTCTTTTATAATAGATCTCTTGTTTTACATGGTGACTCTTATAGCAGAAATTTAGTGTGGGCAAGATCTATATTCAAATCAGATTCCAACACCCTGGATGGGTTTAAAATAAAAAATGTGTTGAACATACCTTGTTTGCTCCAAGACTGCTTTAAAATGCTAATCATCCGTTCATCCTGCTTTGAGCTGGTTATTACAGATGAGGGTTCAATTTGGCTCAAAACTTGGTTTTAATTGAAATTCAAACATGAATAATTGATTAAATTTAATACATGATTTAAGGAAAAATTAAACACACATATGCACACGCGCGTTCAAACGCATTGAATATTGATAATTTTTTAATGCTTTGCGTAGCAGTAGAATATGACATTATCACAATGCGAGTGTATTCATTCAATGGTGAAGGTGCACGGTATATGTATAGACGAAGAAAACAGAGTAGAATGTTTTGCCTAGTCTCAGCATACTTGCTCTCAGCAGTTCATAGTTCATTGTCTCAGCAACATCTCCCATTAGGTGCATCTCAGATGTTGATGTGTCATAGTGAGCAGCTCCAAGTGTTCCAGCACTCCATATAATGCTCAAAAACACCTGTAGGGTACAACTTGTGGCATTTTAGCAATGCGAATTCATCGATATTACCAATGAAAAACATGTGATTAACAAGAGATGTAACTAGCACTATCAGTTTCCTTGTCACAGACTTACAATTAACAAATATACCTTGTCATGTAAGCACATATATAGTAAATAACAATTAGATTAATACTTGTTAGTGTTCATAGTCATACTTCATACTTGTTAATAACAATGACTCATTATAATTTAATTTATAGTCTTAGCCTATAGAGCTAACATCAAAACAACCAACCTGCGAATGTTCCTCCTCGCTGGATGTGTCGGTTCGATGCACGGTGACATCATCGATATCCATTTCTTCGCTTATGTCAGTTTCTCTCCTAGTGCTAGTACTGCCATTCGTACTGCATGCTGTGGACGTGAGGAATCTACTACTAGTACTAGCGCCGGTGGCACAGGAGTTCCGCCCGCTGACACTTGCATTCCCGCCGGTACTAGAGCCTGTTCTCGATGATGAACTAGTACAAGTGTGCCAATGCGGCGTGGACGAGTAGTCGGTCATTTTACCAATCACACAATAAATTACGTTGTTTTATCAGTAACTCTTTACGTTTAGCATTAATTTAGAAAGTTTGTTGTCAAACCGTCTGCTATTAATTTGGGGTGCTTACCAAAGGTGCTTACGCATCTCGGACCGCACTGCCATCTATTGCCAAATACAGTCAACTATAATGTATATATATATAATAATATATATATATATATACAGGCTTCTGTTCATAGTCTTTTTATTAATCTAAATTATTTGAAATTGTGCTAAGACTTTTACAATATAATGGTGAATATTCTTCTGAATATTCTTCTGAATTCTCGGGGACGTACCAGTTCGCCTTTTTGATAGACCTTACGTAGATAATAATAGGCACGTTCTATATAGATATAAGTAAAAAAAAAAAAAAGGGGGCATCATATAACGCATTAGTTAATGCCATGAAAAAGCTGACAAGCATCAAAATAAGGGTTCACAGAAGCAACGCTATCTACAGAAAATTCAATTTGATATATTTTAAACCAGTACACAATACCAGACCAGTCCATTTCCCATCTTCTTCACACCAGAATACGAGCGCCACCTAGTGGGTAAATCTCACGAAAACAGACCTCCGTGGTTATTATGATGTCATCTTCATGAATTGTGATTGGACAGTATCTCATTTACGGCCATTTATAGAAAATGACTCATCATGTCGGTACAAACACAAAAGCAAATTGGCTGTCAGGAACTCTGTGCTGTAGACTGTAGTTAGAATAACTATTTTGTTACATTTTTCTTTATTTTGTTATCACATGACAACGAAAGTGGAAGGCAATACGGTAAACAACAACAGGAAGATGGAACAGACGTTCTATGACAACGACAGTGCCAAGAACAACGACGGCTGTAGAATGGCTAGAAACTGGACGATACCCATGTCGGCCCATCACAACGTAGGCGAACGAAGTGCCAGCATTTGCGAGTTAAAGAAAAACATGACGTTAGACTTTTCGGCGCCGGCTGGTAAGAAAGCCAAGCTTAATACCGTTCTCACTTCCCCCGATCTGAACTTGCTCAAACTTGGCTCACCAGAGCTGGAGCGAATGATCATTGCCCAACACGGCATGATCACGACTACCCCAACACCGGGACAGCTCGTCATGTTCCCAAAGTCCGTATCGGAAGAGCAGGAAGTCTACGCGAAAGGCTTCGCCGACGCGCTCGCGACGCTGCAAACAAGAGAACAACGGCCCACCTCTCAGCACGGCCGCGACGACTACGGCGGCGGCACCTACTCGTCGCCGTCCTACGTCGAGTTGACAATGTCGCCCGCACTGCCGGGGATGGCACACGCCCGCAGCAACGGCTCCGTCGACGCCGCGTCGTCATCATCCCTCGGCGGCCATGCGATGACCTCGCCGGCCCTCTCCAGTGCACAGGTGAAGGAGGAGCCGCAGACGGTGCCCTGTCTCGGCAGATCGCCGCCCGTCTCGCCTGTCAACATGGCGCAGCAGGAGAAGATAAAGCTCGAGCGGAAGCGGCTGCGGAATCGCCTCGCGGCGAGCAAGTGCCGCCTCCGCAAGCTGGATCGCATCGCGCGCCTCGAGGAGAAGGTCGCGGGGCTGAAAGGACAGAACAGCAGCCTGATGCAGACGGCGACGCAGCTGCGCGAGCAGGTGTGCCAGCTGAAGCAGGTCGTCATGGATCACCGACACGACGGCTGCGAGCTGAGGTGCTAGCCTGCGCTCCGCCGAGGCGCCCTCTACGTGTGCGTGTGCTTGTTCGTCGCTGCTGTGGGGTCGCGTGCTAGCCTGCTACTCGCAGGTCGAGGTAGTGAGCGCCCTCTACGTGCGTGTGCGACGGCCGTGTGTTCGTCGCTGTCGTGAGGTCGCGTGCTAGCCTGTGATCTGCCGAGGCGGGCGAGTGAGCGCCCTCTACGTACGTGCGCAACGTCCGTGTGTTCGTCGGTGCCGTGAGGTCGCGTGCTAGCAGGCGTTCTCCGGAATGAGAGAAAGCGAGCAAGCCGCTTCATCCGTGTGCTACACTTGTGCCGGGGTTCGTCGCTGGTGTCGGATCACCTGCTAGCCTGCGCTCCTTACCTGTGCTGTAGCGAGGGAAGGACGATCGCACCTCACAGCATGTCGTCGTCGTTGCAGTCGCTCGCCGAGAAGGTGTTGCAGCTGTGTCTCTCATTGTTACTGTTGTGCATGTTCGTCTCTAAGATTGCTAACGCAAAAAGTAGCTTCTGTTTCGGGCGTGCAAAATTCTTCCGGTGTTTTTTAGTGTAATGGTACCTGAAGATAGGGCATGTAGTCAGCATGACATAAATTGTTAGCTGAAGTTGGCCAACGGTTTTTGTCGTATGATGCATATCCTTCGATTGTGGAGGATATTTTATGATATGTGCTGCTTCTGCCATACGTATGTAAATACATTATTAAATATCCCAGAGTATTTTTGCTTCCTAGTCGGCTATTACTACTGAAGAAGGGTAATGTGTTAGGAGAGAGATTGGTATAGATCGCTTCTCTGCCTATCTAAGGTGTGACCTTTGTGAAACGGAAATACTGAAACGAGTCGCAGCCTAAAATTAAAATGAAGTGGCCTTTCATTTCCATTGAAGTCGTTGGGAATTTTGTGTACGTTAGAGGTAACTAACAAAAAGTGTTTGTTCTGTGTGGCCTTGATCTATTTACAGCAAATTGGAAATGTAGTTGCTTCCATAAAATCTTTCCACGTGGTACTTGTTACAGAGTTTGACGTGTGCAGATATACACGTGTTATATTTTGGAGTAACTTAGCCAGGAGCTGCGTAGCGACCAGAAAATCGGTAATGACACGGTGACAAGTGTAGTTGAAACTCATAAACGAAGTATAGCACTTTTAGGAATTGATGCTTTTTTGAGAGTCTGTTGTGTAAAATCTGCTGGGTCTGCAGCATCAGTCATTTGGCAGTGTGCTTTTGTACTACCATCTCTATTCTTCTGCTCAATGTGTCACAATGTGCTGATCTTTTGCGTGTTGTCGTGCCTTGCGCACAAGAGTTATGCAAACGGTCCTCCGTACAGTGGCAGGGAATGCATGTTGGAGATGCGACGGCAATTGTCGCGTGCTCAAGTCAATATAGTTTTTTTTTAATTGCTGGGACGAGTGATGTGTGCGAAGCGTAAATCAAGGCAGCCATTTAGTGAGGACTACTTTCATGGTTCAGACTTCCATATTATTTTACTGTACCTCGTGGGTTTCATGCTATTGTGCTTTAAAGCATGAAGTCGCATCACACAATTATAATATGGGAACAATGGTATTATCACCATACCAGCGTGGCCTTACTCCCCCTATTTGTAACTTGTAGAGAGGTTGACGATCATCCAATATCGAATGCCATTATTGTAATATACAGTTTCTGCCTTGATCTGTGCTTGCAATATCACAGCAAATTGTTGTTAAAAACTCTGTATTGTTAGATTTAAAAAAAGCCAAAACAGCACTGGAAGTTATTTTTTCGGGGGTTGGAAACGTTAGGCAAAAAGAATATTTTTGATAAACGTTGCCGATACACTTCTGTGCAGCGCTGCGAAATGTGCCTTTATAGCGTCACTGATCGACTAATGATGAACACCTCGGACCCGCCTCCGTCTATAGTAGTCTGTGTGGTGGTTGGTCGTTGGTGCTGGTGCAATTAGTTTTGTATGGTTAATACGCGTGGGCAAAGCTTGTCATTCCCTGCGTGTTCGTACTGCTCTCATTCTTGTCGCATGTCTCGACAGGCCAGTCATATCCTCTGTGTGGCGTACGTTCGCTTCATCCACTAGGAGTTGTCGACCGGACGAGTTGCGAGAAATCGTATTGTCAAGTGCCATTTCATATCTCTAGTGAGTGTGCTTAATGGGGGGAGGGGGGCAAACAAATCGTGAATTGTTGAGAGCAGCTGCCGATCCTCTATGTTTCATAATACCTGTATTTTCTTATGTGTAGCGGCTAGACGTACTTGTATTTTATATATGATTTGCGTGTACATATGAAGTTACTAGCAGTGTAATGTCGTCTAGTGTTGCAAGTGTTTGTGCTGAGGAGAGAGAAAAGGAGATCGAAGGTCGTTGTTCGGCTGCGGTTCCATCTCTCCGAACGCCGCAGATGTCGCCAGCATGTTCCATGAACAGCGGCGCGGCGAGTCCGCCACACCAGTGCCCGATTTTCTACGTGTAGCGTGGAAGGTTTTCATACGCGACACATTTTTATACGTTTTGTACGCGGAAGGAAATTTTTTGTAAAATTTTATTTATTTTCGAGTGTAGAGTACGACGTTCTATAGCGATTGACCGACAGTTCTTCCATGAATAATTGTGATGGATGGTGATTATCAACGTATATCTATGCACATTTTGTAACACGCGTTTTGATATCGAGATGTGTTAGTTATGTAGCTGAATATACATATGATTATATGCGCATTGCACTGTAGTTTTGTGGGTTGTACATTTGCTCTGTAGGTCGTAGTTTTATTACAAGTTGTAGTGTAGGCAATCTGTATGAGCTCATTGCCATCAACTTATACGGCGCTTGTAGATAGTGGTTTAGAACCGTTCACCATACGAGATCGTGGGCATTAGCAGCTCAGATATGTCTTTAATAGTCGGTGCTTCGTCACTTCTCGTATGTCATTGACACCCACCACAAGCTAGGCTAAGCCATGCCCCTGTGTTTTGTTTGGGCTAAGCAATTTGTGTTTACAGTCGAGTCAACTGTTGGTCCATGCCCTCAGAGTTGAGCACTCGCTACTCGAATATCACAATGGAGGTAGTTGAGGTGCAGTGTGCAAGTGCCTTGGGCAGTCAGTAGGTGGCGCCTCTGTGTTTACTAAACGACAGTCCCTGTAGGTTGCTCCACTGTAGGTTCTATGGTTGTGCGACTGCCTCTAGGTGTCTCCACTATAGGTACTTAGGTTGTAAGCATATGTAACCAAAATACACTTATTTTTTACGTGTATTATGGAATATCTTTGGTTGTAAGTGCCTGTAGGTGTCTCCACTGTAGGCAGCATAGATTTGAGTGTTTGTTAAAGTTGTCAGTAGTGGTGGACTGGAAATTCATTCCATCTAAAATCCACCATTTGCACACAACTTTCCCTTTTTTGTCTTACGCACTGTTCCAGTTGCATCATCATTGCAGAATTCTGATGTAAAACGTTTTTAATTGCCAAAACAAAAACTGATATTGAAAGTTTATTTGGTAATTTTCACAGCATAATAGTGGTATTTCACAAAATATCAGTAGATATTGTTTACTTACTGCTGCATATTTTTACAACTATACATGATCTCTGTCAAATATAACAGGTCAGTGTAAAACACTGAACAATTTGTAAGTCCCCCCCCCCCATAATGTCCAGGTGCTTATTTGAACATTGACCAATCACCTAAATATTTCATTTAACTACTGCCAGGCAGATTTGTTTATTTGTATGTTTTAATACTGGTGCGGATTGATGCAAGTTTCGTCTGAAATCCAGTCGGGCTACAAATATCCGTAAGACTTACAAGCACCCTAAGTGTGAATGCGCATAGGTCTCAAGTCTTGTGTTGCTCCTTTGTAGTTGCCCTGTACATTTCTGAACCTGTAGCTCTGACACGTATGCTCACACAGGTGCAAGGTTCGTGTGTGATTCGTGTATTCTTTGCGTCTGAACAACCAATATTTTCCTGTAGTATTGTGACTTAGTAGTCTAGACAGATTTAAATACAACTCGGCTCATAAAGCTATTTTCTAACGCATGGCCCGCACCCTGTAATATGGGTTGTATAGTCATATATATCAATAACTATATATATACATCATATATATATATGCATATGCATATATGTTTGTAATAATATCATGAGTGAATGAAATTTAATTTTTTTTGTTTTTATTCAGTCCTGGTAATATACATGTTGATGTATATGTATATGCGTTTGAACATGCTTTTTATACATGTATGTGTACTTGGTTTTGTGATATTATATCATGTAACTTGTCACGAGAACTGATAGTGAGGTTACATTGTGTTTTTGTGTGGCGTCATTTTATATCGCTGTCAAAGAGCCTTATCAATATAGGCTCTTTGTCGCTGTGTCTAAAGCAAGCTTGGAATAATCAAGTCAGTAGTAGTGAACAGCTCATACTTGTTTTGGTGTTAATATTGTCATTATTAATTCGTATCATTAATTATCATTAATCCACATAACATGGTGCATAGTATTTCTGGACAAGTTCATTATCCTTTCACGGACTACACCCACATAGACACACTACAGAGAGATATTTAATCAAGCGCTACCTAGGTATTATTAGCTCTTGATTTAATGCATGTGCTCGTATATGGTGTTCTCACTTACACACAGATAAATAATACACGAATCATCTCTATACAATACATTTCTATGCTTACACACAATATAAAGAGTGTGCACATATAAATTATTTATCCCGGCAGATGGCGGAACAGTGTATATCCTAGTAGAGTCCCTTTATATTGATAAAATATAAAGGGACTCTATATCCTAGTTCAATATTTTCTATCCCACTGCTTACAGCTGCAGGCTCCATTCGACACCAGCTGCTCCAATGACTACAGCGTGCAGAATAAGCTCGTGGGAATTACATTTCCGAATGTTCAAACGATCGATCCTGAGCTACGTCAGACGTACATTTATCTGATTTTTCAATCAGACGCAGCAATAAAACGCCCCGCTCTTTCTCGATTCCCTACTCTATAATTCCTATATATTTATTCTTTGTCTGTATTTCCCTATTAATGGTCCCGTCGGGAATATATGTCTAAACACGGAGTTTGCGCATGTCAGATCAGGGGCGTGTACAGGATTTTTACCAGGGGGGGGTCTAACCATAACTGAAGGTTGCGAGCACGCGAA